CATTAACGCAAACCAAATTAAGCGAAATAAAATAGAAAACAAAAATTGATTTTTTGTGTTCGTCCGTCATTATATAAATAATAGTAGTTTTTGTCAAAAACACAGTTGAACGAAGTTCGTAAAAGAATTAAAAGCTTAATACGTCAAAGAGTATCCTGTTTATCAAGCTCTTTGTAAAGAGTCGCATAAAACACAGTAATTTGTTCTACCGTAGTAATTAACGTTCCTTGACAATAATTTACATTCAACATATATATCTGTAGCAACCGAGATTAGCGAGACTAACGACCTCCTGGGTGTTTTTAACAGTGCGCAAAAAAATTTACCTGCCTGCAATATATATTTTCGTTCTATCACATTGATTTAATTATCACGTGATTTTTGCGCTCATTAAACAAGCGCAAAGTTCGGAAATATGTATTATAATATAAAAAGGAAAAATAATTTCTATTCATGAAAAATATTGTTTAATGCTACGAACGAAGACCGTTGATATTGTTGAAGAGAGCGATTAATGTACAATAAAGAGAGGAAGGAGAGATCATTCCCTGGATATCGATTTTCCTACGGACAATCGAGCAGTCGAATGCATCGTAAAAATAAACGAGCGACCCTTTAGAAATTTCGGATTCGATCATTAAGTACGAGAAACTTTTGCTTCGAGACAAAATACTGATGCGATAGAGTATATATATTCCATTAGATGATTTAATATACATAAAAGTAGTTCCACAAAAATGTGTATATTGTATGAATCACCCATGTTCTTTGAATCGTTGCTAGAATCGTAAAAATCAAACTAAATAAATGATCATAATTTAATAAAGAAGAGGCAAGAAACTAAATATTCAAGCCAATTAACGCTCTTAATGTATTATGTACTATTGCTTTATACTTTTTCAGTTAATCTCGAATAAAATTAATTAACCAAAATTTTAATTTGCAAAATAATTCTAAATTTAGGAAAAAAATAACGCTAAAATTTTTGTTGAATAAGACTGTAATTTTTTATGCAATATTATGTTATTTTCGATCGATTAAAATTTGAATCACAAGATTTAATCAGAAGAAACATTAATTTCTTTTTGTTTAATTGCGTCCATTAATTATAATCAAACATACCCACACACACACGGTAGAAAACTAATAGCGTCGGTGACCTTAATGGGGAAGCGATTGCTCTTCAAGGACACCCGAAACGAGCGCGCATCGAGACTTCGCGTGCGCCTTGTTATATACGATAATGTTGGTCAACGAACCCTCCTCGCGATAGCGGTGGATCAATTGAAATGCACCCCTCGCGCGCGCCATCCCAGACCGGCCATTACTACGATGCAAGGGGCACTCCATTTCCTTGCTCGAAACGTCCTTTACGAATACAGGATTCCTTCAAGTTACAGCATTCGCGAGTATATACATAGTTTATATAAAGCGCAATCCGAGATTATTCAAACGGGAAGGTTTTATATCTCGGACATTACGAAGATAACCAAGAAACTTTCCATAAATATCTTACATTTTTTTTCTAACAAAAAGTATCTTGATTTTTCAACAGATAAAAAGATTTAAGTATTTATAAGCAATTTATTAAGGATTAAAGTATTAGTAAAAATCTTTTTGTTGTAAAGTAATCGATTTTAAAATTGTTCAGCGATTTTCTAATAAATGATATTTTTGATAGATTCTGTATGAAGTTAAATTGGAATTCTAACGATATAACGGCAATAACGACAGTCATTGTCTGTGACTTGACCAGCCGTAATACCAAACGGCAAACAATGTTACTACGCTACAATCTATACCTCTATTTTATGGGGTGAGTGTTATCGACAGTGCAACGCGCATATAGATAAAATTTGACGATAGGATCGCGTTCCACTCATGGGAAGATATAGACGCGATATAGCGTATCCGTTATATCGTTCGCACTTTCATCGATGTCGCAATAAATAAAGTATTACGCACGCTATATTGATTAGTACAAGCTTATGCCGAGCTTTGGGATCGCGAAAAAGCTGGATGCTAATTCTAAAATACTGCGCTTACAGAAAAGGACGATCAACAAAAAGAAAGAAATATTTCTACAATAATGCTCGACTTAAGTATTGAGCATATTGAAATTCCTTAAGTACGGTATAATAAGAGAAAGAGAGAATTTGTAATTATCTTTTCAAAAGAACAAAAAAAGATTTAGTTGTGAAATCTTTAGTTCTTAATTATAAAACTTATATATAATATACTAATACACATACACACACACACGACATCTTTCTCTCTTTCTCTCATATATTTATATTTCTAATTATATATATATATATATATATATGTGTGTGTGTGTGTGTGTGTGTGTGTGTGTGTAAAATAAAAACAAAAAAATATAAATGTAATAATAAACCTTAAATAAGAAAGGTTTTAACTTATGTGAGTTTTTATGCGGAAAATAACAAAATCGATATATGTCAAAATAACATGAGAAATATAATAATCTCATCAAGTCATCTAATTTTTATTAATAATTTGTCAAACAGCATCTTTTTATTGAGGAGCAAAGTAATCTTCGTCCTAATTTATCTTATTTTGCGATATATATATTATAAAATATGCTGTAATGCAGTTAAATGAAACATATGCGCGTAATAAAAATCATATATAAACATGCGGATTATTATTAGGACTCTAATCTGTTGGGCTAATTCACTAAGGGTCTCATATACAATATATTGTCGAATATACAAAACCATCTACCTGGTCATTATATCATTTTGCCCCTACAGGGGATCACGTGTTTTATATAGGGGATATCTTTGAAAGTCGCTCTTTTCTTTGCATTGTTAACAACACAAAAGAAGAATCAAGTTAAGAAGAATATTATTATTTCAATACAGAGATGCATCAACAATGTATACCAGAATAAAAAAGTTTTTATTGACAAAAAAATTAAGTTTATTAAAGAATTTTTGATTAAAAAAAGTGCATAAGTTCTGATAGATCCTGAATACCTAGTGATACTTACACAATATGGCGTAATTCTCGTATTTTAGTGTATCCATTCATTGGATTAAGGTTTTACGTAATAACTAGTTTTATGTGATAATGAGAACAAATTGTATAATTTAATAAATTAATAAAACTTACACAAATTTTTAAATTTAACAGTCCACAATTTCGCTAGCATTGCACCGACCATTCATTAGCATTCTCATAAAAAAAAAAATCATTTTCTCTCTTCGTTTTATTTTATTCTTGATTTTATTTCAAAACTAGATACGTCCGATGAATTGTATTAAATTTTTCATAAATTTTTGTACTTTCTTCGATTCGTCAGCATTCATAGTAAAATATCGCATACACATAGCAAATGAATCATTCAAAGGTCACCGTTGACAACTTTGTTGTGTAAACCATAGATTATGCGTTGAATATTGGTTTCTTACATCGCGATCGACTTAACTTTTTTACAAACTTCGCGAAAGCAAGCAAAGCGACGACGCGCAATCTTTGCTAAAACATGCGTCTCGCGAAGAAAACTGCAGTAACGTAAGCATGAGGACAACAAATGAATACTCCAAGCCTCGCAAATGATATAAAAAAAAAAGCTTTTATAACCAATAATATACAAGAAAAAAATATTTGATAGATTTTGATTTTAATGTCCTCGAAAAATTCATCGCTTATTACGCAAGATTTTGTCTCAAACTATTTGTTATTTTTTTAAATGTTTATAAAATAAATTAACAATAATTGTGCTTAATATACGATGTATAAAGATCCTTATAACACAAAAGAACAATAGCATATAATAATTTATATAAAAAATATTGCGAATTGCTTGAATATGAGCAGGTTCTCAAAAGTTTAAGGACGATACTGAACAGAAAGAGCATTTAGTTAAGTGTATCTGTCGACGAAAGAGACGCTAAATCATGAAGACGCCTTCCGTCGCGAATGAAATGTTCGCGAGGCTGAAAAAACGCCAGCGTCTAAACGTCGTGCTCTAAATCAAACGTATGTCGCGCGGCTAAGCTTAGAAAAATAAAGGAAAAATACGACGGTATTCCCCTACTGCACACTCAGCATTAAGGACGCACTGTCCTCTATGATTTCACGAGTCCTTGAGTTTAGGAGAGCGAGTGAGAACGAAGTGAACCTACCGCCGAATCGATGTTCTAATTAAATTAGGAGAAACGGCGAATAATGTAACCTATCACAGGTGAGACAAAACGCGATCGATGCGAAACCGAATCGGTTTTGCCAGCTGTGCTTCAAAAAAAAATATTGAAAATAGAATAAAAGTAATATAAATATAAATAATGGCTCAAATGCAGCAAATTCAATAGAAAATTGCGGTATTTTATAAATTAATAAAACAACTTATTTGAAAAATGACGCGAGACATTCTTTTGCAGAATATTTATAAAAATCTATTATAAATATATTCTAGATATTTTTTTCAACAAATAAGTTTATGATCAATTATTTATGTCAGAATTTACACTTCAATTTTTATTTAAAAAATAGAATAAGAAATATAAGAAATTATTCATCATTTTATAATAGTTTTTCTAAAAATATTACTTAAAAAATTTAATTCCGAATTTATTATTTGACTAATTTTTGTAATTATTATTTAGTTTAATTTATATTTAATTATCTAATTTGATTTTCATGTAGAAAAGAAATATAGTCTTCCAAACTGCTGCGATTATGGTTCTATTTTAAATCGAAACGATCCAAATTCGAGGACTGTTGCACTTCGTAAGATTGTAGAATAAAGTCGTTATCGCATATCGAGATGGTAATAATCAGAGTAAGTCCTATGAACGACGTGCAAAAGAGGAGTCGCGCCTATTCCCAGTGCGGCTATAGGGGATTCCCTTGGCGTTGTCGCCCCGCGTCGCCCCACGCCGCTTCAACCGTCCCCCAGGATATCTCGGGGGCGTGTGCGCACGCGTGGAAAATTGAGTCTGATAACGGCAGGCGTCTCGACGTCGTTTAGTATCGGCCGTAACGCCGTAACGTCGCGACGTCCGGATACGGTCTTTCTTCTCTAAAACATTGACGCGTCTCTGAAGAAAATTGTTAAAACACGAAATCGGAAGATGAGATACCGATTTGCCATAATAAAGAATCATCCTAGACGTCCGAGATCGGCGTCGTTTTATGTTGCTCCGATTGTCATTCGGTCACGATCAAAAGTATAGCGGATTTCGCGAAGAAAAAGGTACAATCGCGCCTGTTCGACGATAATTAAAATTGTTTTTGTTATTGATACCGATATTATTTTTTCGTCTCATAACTTTGCATTAAAAAAAATAATTCTCATTCTTACAACCGAGCGAAAATCAACGATGGTTGCAGAATATAAGAGAATGCTGATATTCCAAAGTGGGATAATACCGATTATTTTGCGTAAAAACATAAATACATTTCTAAAATATGTATGAATAAAAAAGAGAACTCTAAAGACTACTTTATAACTTATGTTAATTGTGAATAGAGAAATAACTGTGACAGCGTATTTCGAAAGCAACTGATTAAGTTTTAACAAAGCAATATTCTATCTTCTCATAATTCATTAACTGTAGTAAATAAAAAAATAAAAGTTGCATACAAATTAAAACATTTTTTTGTCCAATATAATCGCAATGATTTGAAGAAGCATCTTGTATATTATTGCATCAAAGAGAAATAGCTTCAATTCAATTTTCGTAAAGATCAATTGCGATTGCTTTTTAGTGAGCTTCAAAATGTCACTTTTGTTACATAAAAAAAGCAATAATTATTAGTCACGAATTATATCTCATTATATCGATTATAATTTTGACATTATTTTACTTGACAAAAGGACATATGTAAGGAACGTTGGCGGTACGTTTTCGCGGGACAAAATCTTTGTCGAATCAGTGCAGTTTCGAGTCGCAGTGACTATGATGTTAGAGTGATCTTTGCTATTAATCGAGCAACAAACGTACATTACCATCATGCAGATTCCTGGATTGCAATTCATGACTTTGCTATTGTGCTCATTGATGATGACAAGGATATCAGTGGTCTCAGGTACGTACAAAGAAGATGTTGGCAATATAATTAATATTTTATACTTCTATGCATTCTACAACGTAAATATCATTTCTAATCACGATAAATTAAAGTCTACATCCGCGGAAATAATTGTACATTGTAACACAAAAAGATTTTAAAGTTATTTAATATTTATAAAATAGATGAGCCGATAATTCTCTTCATTCTTATTATAAATATTTTCATTGATTACTGTTTTTTTATTTTAGAAAATATATTTCTTGTTCCGTCTATAATTTATCAAACACAATGGAAAATAAAATCAATTTATATATTCAGTGTGCAATTTATGAGGACATCAGAAACGCACTTGCAATTTATGGTTTAATATCGTAACCGATTATAAATTCAAATAAAACAAGTGTTTTAGCTCTTGACACCGCCGCGTAAATATTATTGAAATATTTCATATAACGAGACGCGCGATGAATAGTTATAACACAATTTTTTTTTAAACAATATTCAATTATATTAAAAACGATAATAAATGACAAGTACGACCGATTTTTATACTATGACATTGTAACCAAATCATTCAAGACGCGCCAGATCCATGATTAATTAATTAACTCCCGTCATTGTATGCTAAATTGCCATGTCAAAAGGTCCATTTGCAATCCTATGTTGAAATACCGTCGTGCAATATTTCTTAACTGTTAGATCAGACTAACGTATCGAAAATAATAAGCAAACGTGCCGTTATCGAATCTCGTTAGATATAGTAACCATTAAGCGTTAATTATGGATATACCGCGATGAACTTTTTTTGGAAACTATCCAATCAATATCTCATCGATATAATGCAAATACAATTTTGCCTGACAAAAATATATTTTAGCGTAAATCTAACAATTTATTCAATCATACCACGATTTCTCTACTAATACTGACAAAAATCACGATTTTGTATAATTAATGGCAATTATATATATTATACGAATTAATGACTCTAGATGACAGCCAAGTTGACTTAAGATCACCCTACATGAGACCAATCCCTAATTGGTAGAGTGCGGGAATTGGAAGAGGGTGGCTATGTGGAATTAACCTTTGCACTAGGAATGTAATTCTTCGTGTGGCAGATGCGCCGCGTTTTCCTAATGCATCGATTATACTCATCCAATTATTTCCGGCTTGCGCTGCCGGTAAATGTCGATAGTGCAAGCAAAAGGATCTATTTTGCAATTAATTTTGTAGTTGTAATTTTATAGCCTTAAAGCATCTTTTAACTTTATAATAATTTTATAACATACGTTATGGTTGTATATTATTATGTTATCGAGCCATAATTATAACACTAAAATGTTACGACGCGTATAATGTGATAATACTAATCTTATCATTATAACGTGTAAGTAACAAGATTATAATATTGCACTGACGTTTTCAGCGATGTGCGAAGGCTCGGATTTAGTTGCACGCTTATCAAGTCGGCGTTAAATTGTCTTTTCGCACAACAGCGAGAGAACATATCTCTCGGTCTAATTCAATTCTTATCCCGTATGCTTTACGGAATATATGTGATTCTCGGGAAGCATATACGTCACACAAAACAATGCGAGTTTTGTTAACGCGATAGACAGGTAGGCGCTGCAAACGCCGCAAGTTACAGACAGGCCCCGTCCGTCAGCCTTTGCTCGACTTCTCACACACGCCTACGGGACTATCGATTTCGTGCATGGCGAACATAATCGCGCGAGTGCGAAAAAGGGTCTCGGGCAAGGGTGCATTGATAGGGGATGCCGATAACAAGTTCGCGGAACGCAGCTCCGCAGGTTCGATTAGCAGGGTCGATTCGCTCTTCGGATACTACAAATCGCGTCAAAATACAATATTTAGAGAGCTTATGATATCATTCAAGATCTTACAAAAAAAACTACTAAAAGACCCGTAAATGATAGTAAAATCAAATTCACAATGAATAAAGTTAAGAACTAAATCTTAATAATTAATTAAACAGTTGTTTTGAATTGTTTAACGAATTTTAAACAACTCAAAAATATTTATAAATATGTGTATAAATTCCAAAGAAACACAACAAAATTAATAATTTTTCCTACGACTCTGTTATTAACACAATGATATATTTTCTTTAAATTTCAATATTATTAATAAAATTTTAACTATATTCAACTGTTTAACACAATAATTTCGAAAGCAAAATTACAGAAGTTCTTTTCTCAATCTAAGCGTAGTTAAATTTTTGATATGAAACACATAATCGTTTAGAAAGATCGGTGATCATCGAAATCTTAAATCCGGCCTGAGAAAATATCAGGGCGGATAGTTTATGATTTGCATACGATTTCCTAATAATGCTATGCGTAGGCTGACATTTGTACTTGACCATGTAACGACGATCGCAATGTCGCGTGCCAACTGGCTCGTGCACTTTTTCACGTGCACAACTCCGATGAACCGCGAGAATCGATACCGCCCTTTCGCATACGACTGTATTTTCTGCCAACCATTCAGGCCGATATGTCACGCGTGAGAAGATTGAACCGTGCGACAGTTCTCAGTATAGCCTATCGCGATTATAATCCCTGAAAGACGATCATTTTTCAAGGATAATCTTGAAGTAATCTCAAAAATAAATAGCGTAATGAATGCTATGAAAGCTTATGAAGAATGAAAGCAAGATTTTCAGATTAAATATGATCGAATATCCTAATTATATAAAGTTTATATCTCGAATCGCAAAAAATTGTCAGGAAGCAATTTAGAAAAAAATACTTTCAAAAAATAGAAACTTAAAATTTTAAAAATAGAATAGAGTCTTAAAATCTTAAAAATAGAATAGATCTTAAAAAAAAATAAAGATTAAATAATCTCTTATTAGTTTCTAATTATATTTCAAAATTATAATTGTATGTATTAAAATATTCGAAAATTATTGCTTAGAATAAAGAAAGCTATACTCAAAAAAACTTAATGTTCTTAAAATCGAAATCACTATCTGAAAAATTGACGTTATAGTTTAATATAATCAAAGCAGTTAAACATCTCACGATATTATCTATTAGATTCACTGCAAAAAAAAAAAATCTCGATTGCGCGAGACGCAGGATGAAAGGGACCAATTTTTCTTTTGACCAAATTCAATTTCAAAGATAGCAAACTCTATTTGATGCTATTACAGTATCAATAGTACCTTTCGATGTTTGGTATCGACGGTTCCCGCAGATACGGCTTTTTACTTCTTTTCTTGCCGCGATCCCGACGCATTAACGCAGAGGGAGGATACCGAAGCGAGGGTGAACGCGGCAAAGGGTAAATCCCACCCCACGCAGTTCGCGACGCTGTGCAGAACTCCAGCATGGCAAGGCTGCGCCGATTTTATTACTCGCGTCACGCTACGCCGTTCGCCAGCCGGCCAGCCAACGAAATTTGGCATCGATCTCGCCGTAGAAAGCCGCGTCCGCGTTCTTCATTGACATTGAATGCACCATTCAATAGCAAAACACGACCTTGGCTGCGCTTCTGCGGCCACATCGAGGTCGCGAAACTATAATTCAACCCCTCTGAGTTGCACGACCGTTCGTTGTCATTATCCTCATCCCGGATATAAATACAATAAATGCTCAAAAATAATAAAGTTTCTTATGCGTCAAAATTCTCGATGGATTAACGAGGCGCCGCATAATTTTAAGAAATTAATGATGAGATTGCCAAAGGCCATGCAAACATGTAATTTAGCAACACGAACACACGTGATTAAAGTGCGCCGGACGACAGGAAGTTAAATGTGCGAAAGTTAATAAAGTTTCGCGAGATAGGGAAACAAATGTGCATTTATTAACGACAGATACGCGAGGTAATGTATCGAGAACTACTGTGCAATTTGTAGCGGTGAACTTACGACGTACTACAATGAAAAGATGGTAAAATTTGTAGCGCTCGACCCGGAAAATAGTAAGAAATATGAAACTCTAACATGATACGATACAGAATCACGAAATATATAAAAAAATACAGATAACCGGACAAATATAAAGTTACCGGCGCAAAAAAAGATGGGCGCAGATTTGTTTAATCGCGATAAGTTATCGCCGCAAGAGGGATAACGCGTCTCGTGACAAGGGAAATATTAACACATTTCGCATCGTCTTTCGTGCAAAAATAGAGAACGGTATAATTTCGCGTGACATTCTTCGGCGATCTCAATTTCTGCGAATTCTTAGGTAAAACGACACGCGATATTCGAAGCGAAACTAGGACGTTAGATCGCAACCACGGTCCATCGCACAATAGCGTCTACTGTCGTCAGGGACCCTGAAAGAGACCCTTCATGATATTATCGATAAAACCTCGCGCGAAAGGACGATAAGTACAAGTCGTCGCGCGGAACCTTTTGAAGCGCGCGCGACATTTATTACCTCGTCGTAATACTCTTTTATTTACAAATCGAACTATAGAATGTTATGCAATCGTCGAGCTGCTACCGATAATCGAAACTATTACGTCGATGATGAAGCGTCGCGAATGAATGTTAATCCGACACCCACCCGCGCAGTATTTATGCGAATAATTAATGAACGTTATTGCACGCGGCGATAAGCGATTTTGTGGGATAAAAGGATATCATCGTGTGGCGAAAACAATAACAGCATGAATTGCAAAATACAGGGAAATATATTCGCCATTTTTTTTCAAAAGAGAACAATATCGGCAAGATTGTCAATTAAAATGAGATTTGGGTATTAATAAATATAATATTCCACGGAAATATAATCTGTTTTTATAACTAATTAATTGATGTATTATTCATTTATTATTGATACTTGTAATACAATTTATACTATAATATATCTGAGCTAAAATGATAGCCTATTCTTAATTTTTCGCATAATAATGCTTTTATTTGCTAGAATATATCGATGCGACGACAAGTTTTTATCTTTCTAAGATATTAATAATTCAAGATATTAACGATTAGACGAATTATAAGAGGAGCAAAAAAATTGTTATCGCGT